ACAGATTACATTGATCCATCAGGTTAAAATTATTCAAGTAGTTGATATGGTTCAACTGATTTTATAACATATCGTGGGCGCGAGTCCTACACATTTCCCAAGGAGCTACTATGGTAAAAATCCTTATGTTGTAAGCCCCACCGTGAATTCATAGCGTGACTTATGCAATGTTACTTCGGCTGCAAGGTCCCGTCGAGTTCAGCCGTGAGGCTTCAAAACTTTCAAGATAGTATTTCCGTTCCATCCTGGTCAAGATAGACCTCTTGGAGCTGGAAAATTAAAATAAATATGCTAAATAATTCTTGTTTCAGAAAATAAGAAGCGAAAAAGCGACGAAATTAGTTTTGGAGTTAATACTTCATTCCCAAAGGCGGTGCAAATTATAGCTGCAAACAAAACTGAGCTTTCTGACTTCAGGCAAGGCTTTGCGACCTTGCGCACTCTTCTTGCGAACGATAAAAATATCATTACGAAGTGTTGATATTTCCCAACAGTGTTCTTCAAGGAAAGATTTGATTTTAAATAATACAATTTCTAGAATTTTCAACACAATTTCGTAGTCGTAAATTATAGGAAACAAAAATTAAAGCATGCTAAATCTATCACACGGGTCTCTTGAATCAAGAAATTTGTTAAGTTTTCGCTTCGTTGTTCGAACGGTGGATACTGTTTTCAAGTGTTGATATGTCCTGAAAGTAATGTTCAATAAAATATCAATTTTAAAACCGTAAAATTTCAGAATTTTCAAAATCTTCAACCCAAACCTACGCAATTTTGTGGTTGTAAATTCTAGGAAACAACGATTCAATGCAAGGTTTCGTGTATGCAAGAAATTCGTTCATTTTTCGCTTCTGAGCTTCTATGAATAAAGATTTGGTCTCAAATATTTCCTGGTCTTTTCTGTCTTGTAACTTTAAGTGGAGTGGTCTCATTTGATAAAATTGTCATTTTGGTGAAAGTAGTCTAAAATTTACACGCCCGTTAACATGGAGCTCTACTGGCTATATAAGCCAATTCCAGACAAGCAGTTAGTTAACTGAAGTGCGATACTAAACAGCGCTTTAGTAACAGAGGAGTGAAAACACTAGGGAGGTTTGGTTTACCCGACCCGATCTAACCTCCCTCACCTCTTCACTCCTCCGCTGCTACTGCTGTAACAGCGTTAGTTGACTGAGAGCTTGTGTTCCTAGCAGACTCACATTCCAAGAGAACACATAATGCACAGCTCAAATATGACGGATATAGGTTTATGTGCGATAAATGTTCAACGCATCATTGGCTATGGGGACAATTGGAATTCTGTTGTCGGCCTTTGTGCGAACAACAAGAAGTTGTTTGTTTCACACAATCAAGGCATAACTCCATAGAACACGCCTCATGTAAAAGCCAAGTCTTTTGCAAATCACAAAACGTACGATGCACCGTTGCGCCATTTCAGAGAGGAATCCTATTGACAGATCAAGAAGAAGCAAGTCTTTTCAAAATTGATGAGAAGAGTTCAGAAATTTGCTGGAATCAGAGTTAAGGAAGTCAAGATGGTCTTGTCTTGGGATGCCAGTTCAAGCAACCAATTGGTATTTGTGTTGAATTTGACTCTGTCGTATATATTTGCGACGCTCAATCAAACTCATTGAAAATAATCACGCCTCTTTCCGAAACAGCGAGATTGGCAAGCTTTTCGATGCTTTCTCCTCCACCAAGAACTTTACAGAAGGCTACAGAAAAGGTAAAGGAATGCAAATAAATACTCGCCGAGTATGAAAAGTCAGTTCGCTCTGTACCGGGATACTCCAAGATTACCCTGAATGGACCCCAAGGCACGGTTTCTCCCGTAACTGTGAGGTCGGTCGATATACCACACTGAGAATTGGACAGAATGAGGTCACTAGTTTTCTCTCTTTCTTTGATGCCACTAATCTCCTGAGCTGTATGACCCTTGACGTTGAACACCTGCACTCTATCAGCCACATCAAATATCCGCTGCTATCGAAAAAGGAATACTGCAGAGACCTTGGAAATATAATAACAGAGAGTAATAAACGGCTCCAGTCTTTGACAGTATTACACCAGTGTAAAGAGCTCCTGGTACCCTGACCCAGAACATGAAATTCTCTAAGTACACTTCCCTCTACTCCACAGCTCCCAGTAGCAAAACTCTCAGAAAAGGCAGTGGAAGAAATGAGTAATTACGCCTTAACGTTTGGAGTTGCTGTTCGGCAAAGAACAAACCGTTAGGAAACAACCATGGTTAGACATGGAACGATGCCGAAAATGATCTACCAGAGACAGCCTCAGATATCTGAAGACAGAGTTGACTTGACCTTGTCTGAAGGTTCGGAGTCTTCTGAAGTAAACGAGAATGGAGAGGAAGTTGAAACAAGCGTGAGTGACCCCGGGAATGTGGAGGAGGTCCCAGAGTACGATTCGAGTACAGACGAAGACGAGGAACCAGAAGATAGAGATTCAAACATTCCCAGTGAACTTGACCACCGGCCACTTTCCTGTTAGGAGCCACGGCACGCTTTGGACGACAAGTCAGGATTAACAACAGATTTCTAATGTAAAGGTAGATCTTTTAGTTAGCAGTTAAAGATCTTATAAAAAGTGTTAGAACGTTTTTTAAAAATTGTTTAGCCGACACATAACAGCTCAAGGTGCGTTTCTCACCTTTCCACGCGACAAGTAGCAAACGGCTTCGGATTTAACAGTTTTTTTAAACGGATTGACGGATTTGGTCATCAAATTATAGCGGATCGGCGGATTTGCATACCCCTATTCACCCCCCTCGTTTAAGAAGGGAAACTTAAATCACTGAGTGAAACAGCAAGGATCGAAATGTGCCTATCAGAATTGTTGAAAAACAATCAATCATAGCAGAACATCATGCTTTATAATATCACGCATGACCAGTCGACCTCATCGCCTGAAGGAGACTAGCAGTATGCAGTTGAAAAGTCGCAATCTACATCACACGTGACTACATCGTGAGACAAACGGAAAACTTAGCTTTTATTGTTATTCACCACGATGAATAACCACGACCTTTTTTACGAAGGGAAACTTTTACTGAAAATAGGAAATGATGTGAAGTAGTGCTACTATTCTTTGCTCTTGCAAATTGCATTCTTTCCTTGGAGGTCCCATCTTTCATGACAGAATTCAAGAGGATGTCAAATAATCCATCAGCATGCGTGGCAAGTTTCTCATGAGTACGGGGCTGTACAAGGAAGGAACCTTGTTCCTCCTCATAATACTATTAGAGGGCTGACTGAAGCTGTAGTATTAGTCTTTAAAATTATCTTACCGGCAAGAAAAATATGTGGAGATTTCAATTACGCTATTGAGGAGAATTTATAGGGCACCTATTCCCTTCGATGTAAAGGCAACTTAATCTTGTTAAAAATGATCATCAAATAGAAGTGTTCAATGTAATGAACTTAAATCAGCAACATTTACCTTGAAAACTATCCAGTGTTCTTTGAGCAGCAAACATCCTGTCCCACACATCATTATCCACCCTCAGTTACCTCTGTCGTCCATCATAGTGAGTCTCTATGATACTCCATAAACCTAATGCACTCTCCATTCTCTGAACAAGCATTTGCATGTTCCTCTCAAAACTTGTCAGGATAACTGAAAGCCTTATAAGAGATGCAGAATCCTTAGCCAGATTCCCTATGGCCTCCTTTATTGAATCACAAAGTCTCATTACTGGAGATGTAGAAATACTGCATATCTAGAAAAAGGTGGAATTTTTAACATGACAATTATAATGACTTAACATGGTAAGTTTACAAATTGCAATTATTTTAGGAAACAAGGAAGATAAGAGACCTAAAAACAAAAGGCACAGCACCTAGATGGGGTCTAAATGTATGATTTCAAATGCCGCTTCCCTTTTCGAAAAAAGAGAATAAAAAAAGAATTTAACTTGATGGGAAGAAAATATCAAATGACAGTAATTTCTCTCTATTTATCACAAAAAAGCACTTCTACCTTAGAAAGTTTGGCCTTTGGAGAAGAAGGTTATATTTTTAGACTGAGGAGATTCGTGCTGCAATATTTGTAGTAAGTGTTAATACATGTGCAACCAAGGTTACATATCACAAGCAATCTTACTTTTACATTCCTAAAGGTAAGAGTTACAATGCTACAAATGTACCTCTCTTTTTGCTCATGTTTTGTATTGTTCTGGGACTGTGTCTTGGAGAATACTCTCTCTAGTTTAACGGCAATTAGTACACTACTTCGTTCCTGGCCGATAACAAGCTGACGTTTCTCTGCTAAGTTTATCTACCACTTGATAAAGTTGTTCCGGTCGGTAGAGTAGTGAGGACGTATGAATTGTTCAAGATGTCACAAGGTGGAAGGAGCATTGATTGTCAATTTCATTAGCTTCGTTTCGGTGACGAAGGCAAATTACAGACGTCTTCTGAGGCCCTGGTCCTTCCTTTTTCTTGAACACTTCTTTCGGTGCTTAGTGCACCTCCACAACTAAGATAAAAGAGTTGTTGTTATACTTTGTTGTTTTCATGGTGGAGTTGCTGAGGAAAATGTGTTAAAAAATGAAGAACCAGAGCCACACAAGATATTTGTGACGGTCACAGGTCTATTTTTATAACGGACAGTGGACTGTGCGGCAAGAGCAGAAGAAAGGTTCTGTCACTTTCCCTTATCACCGAAACGAAGCGTCCGCGTTAAAAGCAGTAAAGATATCTCACAATAAAATAAAGTAAAGATTTAATCTTTCTTCAAAATCCTATTTCATTTGTCTTACGCATTGGAATTTAATATTCTCTCCCTTGCTTGACTTACTTTAAATTAGGCACGCGTTCGGAAATTCAACCTCTCGTGCATCCGCAGTGTTTGACCGCTGTGTTGTTTTGTGCATGTGTTGTGTGGGACTCGTGTCACTATTGTAGTCGGCTAGGTTACATTGCTTGCAGCAACATTCTGCCATTTTGAAAACCGAGAATACCCTGGGTATGAAGGTGCTGTGAAAGCATGCTCAGCTCTACCGTGGCAGATTAGAAGCGTAAAGGTATTACGATCAGTGTTTGTTATAGATATTACCGCCGATAAACACCAAATGGCGGGAGAGGGAAAACTTGGGCCTTGCATGCAGTGCGTTCGATGCATGTTGTTCGTCTTCAATGGTCTGTTCTGGGTAGGTAAAGCTTAGTTATAAAGAAAATCATATAAACGCCATTCAAGTGAAGCTCATACCCAAACCAGACTGTCATCAATTAGGAGGATTATGCATCAGTTAGTCTCAGTTATGCTGAAAAAGTCGCCTTATTTTACCCATTGTTATTTAAATAAAGAAAAAAATTCAATCAGACGGACATCTTGCGTAAACTTTTGAATCGAGAGGTGGCTGTAAAGTCCAAAAACTTAAGAGATAAACTTAAGAGCGTATAGAAAATCTAGATAGGTTGGCTTTTTCTCGATTCGAATCTGGTATTTTGATGTGTGCACAGAGCAAGTAGAATAGTGAAGAAATTGTGTCTGGTGGAGAAACATGGTGTCACAGTCGTGATTCATGTGACGTTTTCAGTATTACTGTTAGTTCTGGTGCAATATAATATAGGTATGGCCAGAATATGGCACACAAATATGTGAGATATAGTTTTTGGAAGGACTGCTTTAAAAAAATGTACCTTACAAAAACATGTATCATGAACTGTGCTAAATATTGATGTACAAATGAGCTATTAGTACGTGTTGGTAACTGGAGACTGAAATGATTATTTCAAATTCAACAACGTTCAGAATAAAACTATTGATCTTCGAAACTGTTAATCGTGAGGTCACTCTGGAAAGCAAATCTAAACTGAATGTAGATGTACCCTATTTCATATGCCTGACTTTTGAGGACTTGATGGGGCTTTCAACATTGTTACCTGTGAAACAGGACCATGCAAAAACAGTCAAGCACTACAATAGCAACAAAACACTGGAATAGTCAATATTTCCCCAAGGCCAAAATATGAACAAATTTGATATGAGGGGGCCAAAGGTTGTGCTTGTTGTCATTTGTAATGAAAATTTTGACTCAGGGTCAAGTGTGAGCTGCATGCAAGAAAGAAATTCATGTAAATTTACCACTCAGATGATAATGGAGTAGTTGAAATTAACCAGCCTAATCCACAAAGAAACAAAATCATTTTGTGGCTTTCACATTGTTTTAATGTGCAATATTCCTTCTCTACCAAGACTAGCTCTTAATTTTGAACATAACCTGTTCAGCTTACAGGAGGTGGCCTGCTTGTTGTGGGTATTTGGGCTCGCATTCAGTTCAGTGATTACATGAAGTTGTCAAGTCATGATTACTCCACAGCATGCTATGTATTGATTGGTGCTGGAGCCCTTGTCATAATTATTGGTTTCCTTGGTTGTTGTGGAGCCTATAAAGAGCAAGTATGCATGTTGAAAACAGTAAGTACTAATATGACTACATTGCATTGAACACATTTGATCACCCATATTTTATTTCTAATCTTTTTACATTCCCCTGTGATTATTTTGTGTAGATCACTTGAAAATGCAATTTTTATCCAAGAAAAGGAATAGATTAGAATTTAAATCAGGGGAAAGATCTCTCTGACTTTTGAGATAAATATTAACACTTAACTCACCCTGAATCATGCTCACAGACAGGAGCATTGTGACTGACCTAATTTATTTTGATACTGTGAGGCACTTAAGAATCATATGGACTTTACCAGGCTGCAAATCAGGGGCTTATAAGAGAGGAACTGTTAACAGGGAGTTATATGAGTTTAATCAAATCTTCCAGAGGGCCAACTGCAAGTTATCAATTTGATAATTTTTCTTATTATTGATCCCCCAGATTTAATGTGTAGCATTACATACAGAATGTATCTCTTTAGTTTAAAACGTAACTTATTAAATAGGAATAAATACAGTCTTTCAAATGCATAAGTATATTCAGTATTTGATGGTACTCAGCCCAAAAAAAAAATCCATAAAACTTCTATAAATAATGAACTTTAGAGGTTAAAGAGAAAAATGGAGTTGTGGCTTAATAGAGATGGGGAGTTACTAGGAATTCAAATTTTAGACAGGTAATATTTTAAGGAAGGGGTTGTTAAAAAAAGGTCTTTTTCAGTAGCATTATATGTTACATAATGCTCACTGCTCATAATTTTGCCACATGTATTTCAATGATTTTGTGCATGTTGTGTGCAATGGACCTGTAATTCTTGAAAATTATGAGTACTTGCTTTAAAAGAAGATTTGTGAAAGTTCAAGTATAAAGCTGGTGGGTGAGAGGCTGAATGAAACAACTTTGTCTAATGGGAAGTAAAAGAGATTGCTAAATGATTATGTAAAACAAACTTGGTAAACCAAAACATAATGTTCATGAGTACTGTTGGGCTGTCAAAGATCCTTTCTGTTTAACTTTCTATATTTCTTTTAATTGATGAAAGGTATCATGGTGATAGTCATCTTTCTGTGTTTCAGTTTGCAGTGATTCTTGGGTTTCTCTTCCTGGTTGAGCTTGGAGGTTCTATTACTGGATATGTCTTCAGGGAAAAAGTAATATTTTCAATGTGCTTGGCAATAATTTATGCAATACTGATACATAAGAACTCTTTTCATAAGATTTTGGAGCTGGTTTAGTTTTGAGAATGATTGACCCAGCATATTATTTTGGCACTAAGGAACAAATAGTGGAGTATATTCTGCCTCCTATGGCAGAATGTCTTGTTCATAATCATGGAGGTCTTTGATATTTGCAGATTAAGAGTGGTTTCAGTGAGGGATTGAGTGTTGCATTGGATGACTACAAACAGGATGGATTTAAAAAGGCTTGGGATGGACTGCAGTCAAAAGTGAGTAAACATTTTACCATAATGTTTATGCTGCACTTTAACCTAAACATTTCTGCATGAAATCTTTACCAAACATGTCCTGTCTTAACAGTCAATGTTTTAAGCAATTGACAAGTGAACTGTAAGACAATAGAAGGACACAAATGGCTGACTGACCTTTTTGTACTCTAATAACCCTGTGATTGTGATTGATCAACAAATAATTAACAAATTGACAGCAATTTTTCATGGTTTGTAACTTTATTGATCATGGTTGTGACATCAACAATGTTTAAAACTAAAATGAAACCATGAGGCACAGGTTAACTTTTTTTTTATTTTTTTGCCAGCTAAGGTGCCAAAATTTTCAGGAAATCATTTGGGAATGACATAATTATTTTTGAATTGTTGTTTCTGCTGTTGTTGTTGTTGTTGTTGTTGTTGTTGTTGTTGTTGTTGTTGTTTTAAGTTGTGTTATTCAATGAGTTTTACAATTGAATACCCCTAAGAAATGGATGGCAATAGACTCTGGTTGCCATTAATTCAAACATGTCATGCAGTGACCAGCGAAAAATGTAATGAATCTCTCTCAAACAGTTAATATACTTTGACTTGTGATCATTGTCAAAATGGCAAACTGCTGCTTCTTGAGTATACATCTGTCAATAAATTATTTTTCTTTTGAACCATATGCAAGGAAGCCAACACATGTATCATTTTCAAGTTTGATACTTTCAACCAATTATTCACCATAATGTTCTTCTGATGCAGACATAAAATTTTCCATTCTTAGCAAGGAAAAAGATGAAGGATCTATTAAGATTGAAAGATAGCCTTTCCTCCTGAATTGCAAGAATATGTGTAAGAACAATCAAAAACCTGTAGATTGAAGTTACGGTGTTGATGTGTTCTTGTTTGTCACATTTTTATACCAATACAAAATGCATGGTATATATTTTTTTAAATTAAGGTGCTGATCAACAGGTTAGCAAAAACTGTGCATTAAGAACCATTCAATTTGTTGTTCTGGTTCATGTGTCATTCAGGGTGTCCCAACCACATCAACCATCTTGCATCCATATTCTAATAACCTAAAAAGTTACTTGTGACGACCATTTAAAAAGTGGTATCCTTCAGAAACTATATAGATTTTATTTCTGCTGTTAAACAGTATTTGTAGGATTTCACACGTAAATGTAAGACTGCTACAGAAACTGGAATGCTCTTTGAAAAACGTGTGACAATTTTCTTTTGCTTATTGTCCAAAAGCAAACAATACCTTCAATTATGAACATTTTGCCTTTAATTTCTTAAGCACAAAGCAAGGATTTGAGGCAAATTTGAAAGGCATTATTCCTCTAAAATAAGGTATAAGTTAACCACCTTACGTATGCAAACAGCAAATTACAAGAATTAAACTTTGTCGTCTGTCTTTCAGCTTTAAGAGCAGTAATATAAAAATATCTGTGTTTGTTGTAATTAGAAGATATTTGTGTATTTCTCAGTTGGGTCTATTGGATAAGAAGAAAAGTAGGTGAAATTGCCGTTTGCATTTGCTGTGAACTTGGTTAAAAATCTTGTCCATTTCTTTCACGCACTCTCTGCATCATATTCTTTTAGACAAGCATTCCAAAACAAAATTCTTCCATTTTTTTCTCTCTACAAATGATTTAAGTTTATTTAGTGAAGGTTTTCTCTTTTCTCTTTTAACTAGAAACTAGCGATTAATGCTTTCAAATCCTGCTTAAAGTCTTAACTTGTTGTGCCCAGTTACACTTAACACTATCAACACCAGCGTCATGGTAACCAATGGGAGACTAAAATGTGATTGGTTTTCCTGCAATAACAACAAGCGAGTCATAGAAGAGATAAATCTCCATCGATCACAATTGTTGATTGCATGTTGCGTGTAGCTTTCTTATATTTTATTGCCCAAAAGTTCTACTATTTCTTTGTTAGAGATGTAACAGGATTGCACACCAAAAACTTTAAACATGGATCCAAATTGCACTATAGGTCAAGGGGTTTTGAATAATAAGGAGAAATGAAACACAATAGACAATACGTAAACAACAGAAGTTTGGAGTTCATTAGCAAAAATGGCTCAAGAGTGCACCTGTTCCACAAACACTTCCTCCATCAATTGCTTTCAAAGGCTTCTTATTAATTTCAGAGTTGTAAAAATGTGTCAAGAGCTGTCAGACTCAAAGCTATTTATTTTGTTAGATTGGATCTTTGTAAATTTCAATTGTGATTTATCCCTCTATGCACAAAATCCAGTGGTAAAACCCATTCCTGAATGACACACTAAAATCAACATGAAGTTGTAATGGCTTCCCTTTTTGTTGAGTCTTAGGATTTCAAAAATTAACTTAGCCCCTCAAATATTGAATCCAAATGCATTAAGCATCTAATGATGAACACTGTCATTTTAAAACTATGTACAGTTATTTTTTAGTAACCTGGCAACATAGATGCATAACAACCCATAATTGATTCACAATCAGTTGCTTCTCTGCTCATCTCAATAAGTCATTATATCAGTCCAGAATGCCTTGTTTGTTTAGCTTGCCAAGTACTGAAAAAAAAAGAGTGTGAGACTGTGAAGTCAAAGGTTACTGACCAGATTGCTGAGCAATAGTCTATTGAAAATGGAGACATGGTTGTCAGATTTTTTTAGCCAGACAATATTTGAAAGGCTATGTTACTCTTAAAAATCTCAGAAGGCAGACAGTCTTTCATGTGTATATGTTAATTTTATCCATTATAATCTAACATATGTTGCATCTGAAACATACTTCTCTTTAAAGGAGGGAATTAAAATAAATCAAGTACAAAGTCTTGTGTGCTCTGTGACAAATAAAAAGTCTGTCTGAAAGTCTCAAACTGCTATGTTTTCTTTCAGCTTGAATGTTGTGGTAATAAAAATTATTCAGACTGGTTCTACAAAGAATGGACTACAGATGAAACATACAACAATTCAGTGCCCCATTCTTGCTGTATCAAAGATGAAGTTAGCTGTAACATTAATGTTACAAACCACCCAGCCACAGTCTATTCAACAGAGGTAATTAGTGCTAAATTTGTGCTAACATTTCTCATTAATGGTTGACAAAGTTCTTTTTTTAACCCTTTAAGCCTCAAGTAAGCATATTCTCCACACTGTCTTTGAGACATTTCAAATGGTATTGATAAGGATATCTTGTGTAACAATCATAAGCTTTTTCAGTTGGAGATTATTTCCTTTATTTTCATGACCTTAATGTTTGATTCAGAATTATAAAATAATTCAAATAGTATGCGCGCTCTGATTGGCCATAAAACCATTTTACATGAGCGTATGTAAATGTGGTTTTCGTTCCTCTTTCATTAGTTATTTTATAAAAGAAATGTAAAATGGTTTCCATGTTTACATAGCCTGATGTAAACACTTGGGAGGTTGGGAGAACACTTGATAAGCTGGAAACCACTCCGCTTCGCATCATGGTTTCCTACGCTTATCTTGTGTTCTCCCAACCTCCTGTGTGTTTACATCAGGCTATGTAAACATGGAAACCATTTTACATTTCTTCAGTAATATTGTAGGGGGAAATGAGATGCTGGTCATTCTTGGGGATTAAAGGGTTATTTGGAGAAGAGTACCAAATCAAAGGCTCCTTGGAGCTATCTCAACATATGTCATAGGGTAAGCTCAGAAAATCACCACAAATCATGTAATAACTTTAAATCTTCCTTATTGTCCTTGATACTTGAGTTAGAATTAAATCATTAGAACAGAATAGGAATGTGATGGTTTGTGACATAAAATGTAGAATTGATACCATGAGTTAGAGTAACCAAAGCAATCAAACCTTATTTGTGGTACGGATTTTAGTTTATAGACTAAAAAGTTCTCAGCTCAGGTTAATTAAATTACTAGCTCAGGTTAGTGCATTTTCTTCTTCCAAGATGTTACTAAAACCTAGTTGAAATACAACATATGCACAGCTTAAATCACTGTTTGAATCAAGGGGTTATTTTGGGTGAAGTGGGCATTTAATGCTTTTAAGTACTGTTACTTCAGTTCTGACAAAGGAATGACTTGTAGCATGATCATCACGCCCATTCAGGGTTGTTCAGAAATATTTGAAAATATCTTGATCAGCAATGGACAGATTGTTTTCAAACTTGTCATTTTGCTTCTCTGATGATTGCAGTTTAATAAAAAATAACTTTGTTGCCTTTTGGAATAATGTAAGAATTAAAAAATATTAAAGATACTGGAAAATATACCCAAATTATAAATGTAACGCGTAACATCTCATTTGCATAAACCCGAAAATAAAGAATCTCTTCAATTAGAAACTTCCACAGTATCAAATACAATGCCAAGAGACAGCGTTAAATGTTCGTTTTTAAAAGAACAGGAATAAAAAACTTGAAGACAGTCGCTGTTGTTTGCTTGTGTAACGCAGCAGATCCAACAGAGCTTTGCATGGTACATGTGCGGGTCTAGCGTCTTGAATATACGCCTACAAAGAAAGTTGATTCGTCTGAGTAAGGTTCAAACACTTACTTACCCTCATCTAAAGTAACTTTTAAAAAGAGCTAACTGCAAAGAAGAAATAAGTGATTTTTGGTTTCGGAAACGATGTTATTGTTTATTTTTAAACACGGAAAATCAAACACCACTTACCTGCAAAAAGGCCTGTATTTCAGCTTTTACTTCAAGACAACTTAAAGTTCATGTGTTCGACTACAAATCCCCAAAGTTTTACAGCATACATACAATACAAATATTCAAAGCAAACTAAATCGTTTTATCAGTAACGATCAAATTTCAAGTCTACATTGAAGAATCGAAGGTCTCCTATGTAACCTCTCCTCTATGTCTGCAGGGATTAGGCAAGAAAACATGACATACAAACTTGATGTAAAAAAAGTGCGTTTGTTTTGGCTGGCACTGTGCGGCATGTGTGTGGAGAACTAAAGAGAAAGAGGAATAACATTTACAAAGTCCCTGTAGATGTCAATGAAGAAATAATTGCTTCTTTGTAAATCTAGAGATAGTTGAAATATAATTTTTTTTTGTAACTCAGCCATTATGGCCAGTGAAATCTAGTGATAAAGTCAAATGCCACGCCCGCAAAGGATTGTGGGTAATCAGTTATTAAGCTTTAAAAACCGAACAAACATTGAAATCTTCACTAATTCTTTTTAGAACGTAAATTAGCAAGTATATCTAGCAAATAAAAGTATTTTTGGCATACTTTTTACATTTCATGAAAATACCCTATGTTACACATTTGGGCATGATGATTGTGCTACAAGTCAATATAACTTGATGCATCAATGTCTGGAATGCATGTTGCACAAAATTTGAGTTAAAGAGAATCTCTTTTTACAATATCAATACAATGTCAAGCAGACAAGAGATGAGAAAAAAAGAAAAATATCAATTAAGAGATTCGTTCATGCAATACCAAATTCAAGAGTTTTATAGTAGACAGTAAGAAGAATTACTGATGAGAACTTGGGAGCAAAAAGGTTAAGTCATTTGTATCTGTAACAAATGAGAGCATTGACATCAACCTATCATAAGACAAGTTAGTTATCATAGTCATTTGATATATGATCTGATCTGCGATCCACTCAAAGTTTTGTCAATGCCAGTCAAGCAATCACGCCTGCAGGCTTTTGAAGGATACATTTCATGAGTGGATGCTAGATATGAGTTGGCTTTAACCAATCTCATATCCAATGAGTGCAAATGGAATGGCTGTTTCATCAAATTAAATTATCCATAATGTTTGACAGAGTTGTTTGTTTTCATCCAAATGTAATTCTAGCTTAGCAACACTTGGGTAAATTGTTTCTAGATAAGGTGATTCAGTGTATGAGCTGATAACTGGAGCTGAGTGAACCAATCAGAAAACTAGACATGCAGTATTCGAAGTTTGAAATTTAATAATTAGTTATGAAACCCCTAAAGGCAGCTGGTATGTCAGCTGATAATGTCTGCAGCTGAGAGATTGTGTGAAAAATGAATATTTGGCTAAGAAGCAATACTTTCAGGGCAAATGTAAAATGTTGAGGACAATCTCTCAACCAAGGACATTATCAGCTGACATCCCTGCAAGTCAGGAGGTTTATGTATTTTGTAACCCTTTCATTAATTTTAATATTGCACATTGACAGTAAATTGTGTAGACTTTTTATGTTCTTTCTGGAACAGCATGTGAGATCAACATTATCACTAGACTCTTCAAAATTAGCTTGTTTTCCTTTATGTATTAAAAGAAATTGAGACAAAAAAGTGAAACTTGAGCCACAAACTTTTTTCTGACAGAAACAATTGGACAACAAATACTAAAGAAGTAGACAGGGGTTATTGAATGATAACTCCCTGGGGATTTTGCACCACATCATTTAAAGTATCCAATAGAATTGTGTGAAAATTAATGGCTGAGTTATTGTTAATGATATTTAAGTAATTGTGGTATGGAACATGCAGGTGTTCTCTTATTTCTGCTGAGACATGAAAATATTAAATCAAACCTGAATATATTACAAAGGAATATCATTCTCTTAAATACCAACAGGGATGCTATGATGCTGCAGTTAACTTCTTTGAGGACAAGTTGTTAATCATTGGAGGTGTTGCCCTAGGAATTGCTCTTTTTCAGGTAATTATTGACAGAAACACTTTCCAACATACTCCTATTGGCTGTGGAAACACAGCATAAGCAGTGTTAGGCACAAAATCAGAATTTGATCATATTTGGTACACTTTTTGATATACCAGCTTCTTAAACAATTTGGTTAAGCTTTATACATAAGTTAAAGAATTAAAGAAGACACATCAATTCTCTGTGACTCTGAGTTTTGTGCTTAAGCACTAGTCAGGCAGAACTTTTCAGAAACGTTCTGTCTGACAAGTGCTTAGGTGCAAAACTCAGAGTCACAGAGAATCAATGCATCCTCTTTAATTCTTTAACTTATGTAGACTTAGCTCTGCTACCACAGCATTGAGCATTTCATGCCAAGGTAGACTCTACTCCCACATTCATTTATATTTATATATTATATATATATATATATATATATATATTATATATATATATATATATATATATATATATATATATATATATCATCTCATTGACTGTACATTTAGGAATGACACAGACAGGTTTGAAACCAAAGTTAAACTGAGAGGGAGCTAAATGGTCTCCAAATTATACAACTTCAGTTTCCAAAGTGGTGTCTTGAAATTATTGAAGCCTAGTGCCCCAAGAGTAAAGGAAACAATCAATTCTACCTGTAACTGAGAAATTTCCTCAGCCTATAGTAATTCCAATGTAATTATGGAAAGAAATCACAAGATGTCTACAACCTTTGATTTGTGTTGTCTGTGATCTTGGAGTGGCTTGTATGATGGTTTTAAAGACAGTTGATGTGGTCAGTGGAATCAGTGTCATGCGATATTAAGCAAATTATTCTTTTCCTTCTTTTTTTTCATCAAAAGTGATAACTTTTGGTGATAAAAGTTCATCACATGAATATGATAGCGCTCTTTGCAGTAATGAACACTACTTAAGCAGTAGTGAAAAGAAGGCCTGAAAAAAATTCAGGCCTGTATGGGATTTGAACCCATGACCTCTGTGATAATGGTGCAGTGCTCTAACAACTGAGCTAACAAGCCAACTGGGAACTGGTCACTGTGTTGGTTCCAAATAAACCCATGAAGTGGTGAATAAATGGCTGTGAATATATGAAAGTCATATATTTAAACTGCAGATAAGACGTGAATATGATAGCGATCTTCACAGTAATGAACACTACTTAAGCAGTAGTGAGAAGAGGGCCTGGAAAAAAATTAAGGCCTGTACGAGATTTGAACCCATGACCTCTGCAATACTGGTGCAGTGTTCTACCAACTGAGCTAACAAGCCAACTGGGAACTGGTCACTGTGTTGGTCCCAAACAAATCTGTGTAGTGGTGAAAAAACGGATAAAGACGTGAATAACATAGTATCTTTTCACTACTGCATAAGTAGTGTTCATTACTGTGAAGATGGCTATCGTATTCACGTCTTTATCTGCAGTTGAAATATATGACTTTCATATATTCACAGCTGTTTAAAAGTTCATCATTATGCAAAATCCATCATTTTACATAGTCATTAATCACTTTGATCTTAACTTGGCACAATTTGCTCATAGAAAAATGTCACTACAATTTTAGTTATTCTACCTATTGGAAGGCCTGTACATATTTAAAAGCTACAAGAAAATAAGAGTTTTTCAGTTCAATCCTAAAGTATCAAAGTTGAAGAAAAATCATATTTTGGTTTCATAATTAAAAATGCCCTGCCTCAAGGCTTTTTTACTTTGTAGCAATGTATCATGGCCTAAGGGTTATTGTACTGATGTAGCTGATGTAAAATATAAATTGGATTCTTTACCAATTTCTAAGATATGATAGATTATATTACGTAACACTTTTCTTACTTTATTTCCAGCTTATTGGTGTGGGATTGTCATGTTGTTTGGCAAGCAGTATCCAGCATTCCAGTAAATATGAACTGGTTTAGTCAATTTCGTCATCCCACTTGAATTAATAAAATGAGAAGCCTGGGTTTATAATTCTGAATTATGGTAGAAAAGTGCACTCATGAAGTCTAAGGGTATCAGAGAAGCCCACTTAGGGGTAGATGCCTCACAATTTTGCATCGTCTTATGTTGTGACAATGTTGTTAAACCTACAGAAATGAGTGTTGGTGAAATATGTTTATTCTTATCAAATGTTGTTGCAGCAAAAAGTTTGTTCTATGGTTTTTAACACCACCTATATGTACTTTGCATTATGCTGACCTTGTTTAAGTGTAGTCTTGTGAGGTGGGGCTGGTTGGGAAAAATAAGTGGGATCATTAAAAAGTCACTGCCTTATCAGTAAAAGTCTGGTAGTCATTTTTGAATAAACATCTGCTGCATCACCAGGAGAATGAAATGCAAGTCTTATAAATGAAAAAAACGTTTTTGTTGCTAATTTTAAGCTTTCAATATTTAAATTAATTACCTCCTCCACCTACATGTAGTCTGTTTCCAATGGTTTTGTATTGTCATTGCCTAGCTCAAATTTGCATGGCTGTGTCCTTTTTATTTAGTAATGGGAGAGAAGAAAATTAATCTTAAACCTTGGACAAATCTTGTTAGTAATAGTAGTTTAAATTACCCTAAGTTCCTCTGTCAGTGCTGGATAAAGAAAATTCCCAATTTTTACTTTATCAAAGTGTCAGCAAATGTTGTACCTGGGTGAACAGAGGAAGCTTTCACAGAGACTGATACTTTGTGACTGAAGTTGTAGCTATAGGACCAGGCTTACTATTCTTCTTATTATTTGATGTTACATTTTTCCCTGGTTGAGATTTGAATAACTCTTTAAGTGTGTACATACTCTTTTACCAAACTTCCCATTGCAATGTGATAGAATACAAACATACCTAAGTTTTTTTTATTAGTTTTTTGTAATTATTTACCAAATTTTGCTGCTTAGCTTAGTTGCACACTAACACTGTTCTGTTCTGGTTGTTTTAATTTTAACAACTTTTTCTGTCATTAAACATGAACATGTGTCTGGTGGTGTTAATTTTTCTTCGAGGTGTCCCTTGAACTTTTATCAGCCCACAAGTGCATAGACAATTTATTGGGACAATGATGACAGAAGTAGAAATAATCAGAACTGTGCCCCTTGTATATGTAACACCCGAGCCAAATTTGAGGGAGAATCTCTTACATCTACTCTAGATCCAATGGCTGAAAGCAAAGGCTCTAGAAAGCAAAGGCTCCAGAAAGTAAAAGGCTCCATCTTTAATTGTACTGGGTGCAAATCCTCCCCAGAAACAAATGTCATATTACTGCTACTTTAATTTTATTTCTAACAAAAGCAATGAATCACCAATATTATGCCAAAACACCCTTTGGAAAAGAATAATTTGCTGCCCTTCTTTTGAGTAACTGAAAATGCATTTACATTTGTGACACTTTTTGTGTCAAAGAGTAGGGTCATACTAAAGATGTTTACATGTATCCCAGGAGCTTCAAAACTTTGAGCATAAGCTGTTGACTCTCTGATAGCTGTAAAACTAGACCCTGTGAGAAGGGTTACTGGGATACCTGGATGGTACTGGATCCTTGGAATCAAGTGTAGTGATACTACAGGTGTCGGACTAGTATACTGAAATAGTAAGCTCAAGTCTGGCCAAGGGCATACACCTATTTCAAACATAGGCATGCTATGCATGCAAGAGTTATTTTTTGTAGGGTGGGTGGATTACTTGAAACATTGTAAGTGATCTACATTCTTACAAAAGGAAAGAAGAGTATTAACGCGGAAAAGAACGGAAATGTCGAATTACCTCGCACACAGGTATTTTGTGGTAGATTATGTGTGTTGTGCGAATAAATGTAACCAAAAATAAACTGTATTGGTACCGCGAATACCTGTTAGTACAAAATGCAGACAGCAGACTGCAGACCTGATACAAAATCTAGACTGCAGACTGGGTACAAAATGCAGACTGAGAATCTGAAGAGTTTTTACGTCTGGTATACAATAAAATGTCATCTGACAGCTTACCGAGCGTCACGCAATCGCTTTTCTGCGTTTAGCCTTCACGATTATTTGCACTATTGTGGAAAATTCCTGGCCCATTTCTTAATGAAAATCAATCGTACTATAATTTCAAGCCTTCAATATAGTCTTCTTACTTTGCGCACGAGTTGGTTGGTGTGATTTCTGTACAAATTTTACCAACGTAATAAAAGTAGATGATGTGAATAACAGTGATGGTAAAGCAAGATTAAAACGGCAGAAATCGCCAGAAACTACACTAGATACACAGGGTATGAGTGGGTTTTGTTGATTTTACAAGAAAAATGTTCTTATTTCGAAATATTTATCGTTGTAAATCGACCATATTTCGATCCCTATACTATTCCTTATGACGTGTTCAAATTTTCAACGGTTCCTCTCGTAGCTTAACACCGAGTCACACAACGCGTGAATTGAATTGATCGTCGGCTTTTTCTCGAGGCGTGAGCTTGGGTCGCCTGTGAGGTATCCAGTTACCTCGCCACCAAGCAGACTCGCCACCAAGGAACGATCTCGCCACCAACGTACTCGCTACCAAGCGAAGTCTTCTCGCCACCAACCACCAATAAAGAGATTAGTCGAGGAGAGTAGGATGTTCAGCTGATAAGTTTGTTCGCTTGTCTGTACTCAATCGAGACGACTTACCATCTTGTCCTGGAGGGAACTATAAGAGGGAACACGAAGCTGGTGACCAACACTGGTTACACCTTCAACATCCGCAAAAGAGGACCAAACGGAACCATCGACTGGCAGTGCACCGTACGCCGAAAAGACCACAGGTGTAAAGCATCCGTTATTCAGCAGGACGGTGCATTCTTCGCGGGAATGCATGGCCACAACCACCCCGGTGAATTTGGTGTCCTTGCTTCCACCCAGATCCAGTCTCGCGTGAAACAGGTGCAGTTAATATATTTTTTTAAACTTTTTTTGAAGTTCGTTCAAATAAATTACGGCATGGGGTTTTCTAGTATATACGAACCGCCTATCAGAAGAAATTTCTTGTTTCACACTTTACTTTGTAATTATCTTAGATAATAGAAAAATATTTGATGTGACCACAGGAGTAAAGGTTGGAGTAAAATATGCAAATTTCCTACACACTCATATTTTGTATGTTATTCTTTATCACAGGTAGCACGAGAGAACTTGTTCAGACCAGCTTCGGCTATCGTCAATGAGGTGCTTCTGGAGGAGCGGGTATATGAACATCCATGCCCGTCACTGCCCAAACCTGAAAACATGGCCAGAGCCGCGAACCGCTTAAGACAGCAGCTGAGACCCGAAGACCCCACCGACTTGGCGTTTGACATCTCCGAGGAGAATATTCCTGCCGGGTTCTTGAAGGGAGACGTCCGTAGCCGCAGCAAGCGACACTTGCTCTGCGCAACAAACCAGCAACTGCAGCAGCTTGTCCTGGCCAAAAACTGGTACGTTGATGGCACATTTAAACTCTGTCGTCAGCCCTTCACCCAACTGTTTACCATCAACGCCTTTGTGAGGAGCGGCGAGCAAGCCAAACAGGTTCCTCTGCTGTTTGTCCTCATGTCTGGTAAGAGAAAGCGGGACTACCGTACAGTGTTGCAAGAAGTGCTGAGAATACTTCCTTCGCCTCCAGCAGTCACAAGCATCACTCTGGACTTTGAACAAGCTCTCTGGAAAGTCTTTAGAGAGCTGCTGCCCAACGTGTCACTGCAGGGATGTCTGTTTCACTGGACGCAAGCGTTGTGGGGAAAGGTAACGCATACCTAAAGAAAGAATTTATATAGGCACACACGAGAAAAAATATTAATTTTTAACAGCATATCTCTAAAAATCTATTTTCATTATTTCAATAATTTCAATTAAACCCATACCTACCTACCGTCCTTCTCTAAGGGCTCTTCTCTGAATAATATCAATCAAGCTTAACGCATACCTATACTAATAGAATTAGAAACACACGGAGTTAAAAATAAGTGCTTAACGGCTTATCTCTGAAAATTTGTTTTCCTTTTTTTCAATAAGGTTCAAGAGTTGGGATTGGAGCCAGCCTACCGCGCAGACAGCCGTACCTACAAGTACATTAGAAAACTCATGGCGCTGCCCTTCCTGCCGGAAGCCGAGATTACGCCGATGTTTAAGCGGCTCAGAGACCGCGCCACTACCACTGCTCTGGAAGCACTTGCCTTGTACGTGGAGGAGAACTGGATTACCAGCACAATGTGACCTCAATCCTGTTGGTCTGTCTTCATGCTGCCGATCCGCACCAACAACGACATAGAGGCGTGGCACCACGGTCTTAACAGCAACAACAGAGTCCACTTGCCATTCTACCTGCTGGTGGAACTGCTACACCAGGAGGCCAGACTTGTCTCCATTCAGATAAGGCTAGTGTCAGACGGGAAGCTGTCCAGGATTCAGCGGAAGAAGTACCAGCTGCTTCAATCTAAAATCTTCAAGCACTGGGAAGACTTTAACGGCAACGAGATTTCTGCCCGCCGCCTTCTCAAACTCTGCAGTTACCTGAACGGCCCGGCGACCAGAACCTGAAGCAGAACCTGGAACATCAAAAAACGGCTCTTTTAGGAGCCACCGCGCCCTGGTTGCGTCTTTAGAACGTTTCCAGGTCGCTAAAAATGGCTCTTTTAGGAGCCGCCACATCTGCAAAAGTCATGATCAACATATGAGCTGCTCTTCTAGATTTAATATTCAATAAAGTTTGTTGCTATTTTGCCGCGGGGAAACTGGGTAATATAATTCGACCGAATATTGAATAAGTTCCCTTGACAACATCACAGACGTCGAAATTTGCATACAGATAAGTAAACAAACTCGTGAGTCGATTCGTTCGAACTTATAACATCACAGACATCGAAATTTTTATACAAATAAGCAAACAAACTCAGGAATCGATTGGTTCTAACTGTTAACTCTCCTTGGAAAACAACTGTAGTTGCCTTAGAAAGCTTCAGTCCATCGACGCTTACAATTTCTCGCACCGACTTGACAATTTCTCGCATCTAGTTTTAATACAACTGCTATCGAGTTTCATTTCATCACTTATTTCTTCCCATGAAGTTTCATTTTCTCTCGAGTTAGTTTTTATTCCTCGCATCGAGTTTTGCAATTTCTCCTCGCTTACGTGCAAAAGACAAACACGATACGTTTCGATGTCAATGAGTTAGGAACGGAACACATCTAACACGTCGCTGAAGGTCACAATTTAAATACAGACAAGCGCACAAACGTATCGGCCGATTTGAATTTTGCTCGTTCGAACATACTACTCTCCTCGACTACTTTATTCTAGTTTATCCCTTTATTGGTGGTTGGTGGCGAGAAGACTTCGCTTGGTGGCGAGTACGTTGGTGGCGAGATCGTTCCTTGGTGGCGAGTCTGGTAAAATTTCCGCACAGCCCCATACTACATTATGCATTCAGTTCTCGAATAGAGAAAACAATGACAAAAACAATACATTTCCATTGGGAAAACGGATTTGTTTTCCAATAGTATGGGGCTGTACGGAAACTTTACCTCTTTCTTCACAAGCAGTTTGCATCCATTAGAGTTTTGTTCTTCAGTCTCACTTACATAGGATATATGCAGTTTGCTTTCAGATTTCAGATTTTGCTTCTTACTACGAGTGTGCGTTTTTCAACTAAGACACTGGCATACTTGGCATACAAGGCATACAAGGCATTCAAGGATTTCATGACTTTCAAGCGTTCGCGAATCAATCCGTTCCAAAATTACCGCTCAATAACATCTTTTAGCGTGGACTGGCCGCGAACAATACAACTTGTATATGCGTCTGTAAGTATTCTGAGCGTTTGCGCCATAATGCTCCAGGGGATCGTAATCCAAACACGTTGAAATACAAAACGACGGACTAATGAGTTTCATGACAAAAAAAATCTCGTGGTTTGTCATGTGACCCGGCCCTGTCCATGCATGACAACGTCAATCATCATCAAAATAACATGCGTGTCAGCATGTGAACAC